AATCCTACTCACGGGTAGTTGTTTTCAAAGTCCGATTATCCCAGGAAAAAGGCAGCGCTCTCCGGTAACAGCTTCACGGCTTCGCTCCACGGAAGAAGCAATTTGCTCACAGCACCACACCACCCCCGCTCCGCTCCGGAGCCCGTTGCCGAGCTCCTTTAGCAATTGGGGGGGCGCAAACGGTGCCCGCTGAGTCCCACGGTCACAGGCTTCACCCGCCTGTGATTTTTTGGGGGGTCCCCGCTGCGCCGTAGCGACAGGACCCAAATTCCGTAGAGCCAGTTCTCTCCGAATTAGAGAGAAGCAGCCATTACCGATGGCGCCACCCCGGAAGTCTCCAGAGTGATCTTGGCACAACTGCTAACAGGAGTGAGACCAGGTTCCAGGTGTTACTGTGAATATGGAAAGCCCTTAAGAACTTGGGACCAGTTCACCTGTGAGATCGCCTTACCTCATGTATGTCCACTCAACAACTTTGATCTGCAGATCGGGCATATGGAGGAGAGGCATCAGAGCAGACAGGGGAGGAGCAAAGAGGCAGAGGCAAGCGTGGAGCCCAAGGAGCTGTGCTCTGAGGCATCAGGAAGAACTTTCTGGCAGTAAGAGCCATTTGACGGTGGAACGGTCTCCTTCGGAAGGTGGCGGGTTCTCCTTCCTTGGAGGTTTCTAAGCAGAGTCGGATGATGCCAACGCATTTGCTTCATGTTATATAAGGGTCTGGACTGCTCTTTTGGTAGATTTAATGCATTTTGGTATGTGTTAAGATTTGAAACCACTCTCCAATCTTCAGATGAAGGGTGGAAGAAGAAGAAGAAGAAGAAGAAGAAGAAGAAGAAGAAGAAGAAGAAGAAGAATCTAAACTGCTACCTGTTTGCCACACTTATCTGCTGAGGAGTAGTAACTGGGTATTCTTAAGACACTTAGAAGCAAGGGGACTGTTGGTGGGGGTGGGGATTTAGTCACCGCTTTGAATTTATTGTGTTACTACCTTCCTTAGTGGGCTGTGCAAACTGCTCTTCTGAATAATGCTTTTCACAGAGTAGGGAAGGAGGCACTGGGGACGAGAATATGGAGCCAAGAGGGCAGGGGCCCAAAAGAACCACTGACCTAAAACATTTAAAATCTTTATCGTTTCATGGATGTCCTTCAATATTCTGCCTGAGCACTTTTGCAGCAGAGCCCCAGACGCTCACTCCAAAACCACCTTTGGCCACAATCCTTTTGGAGTTTTCTTCCCTCAGCTCTGTGAATGTGACGCATAGGCTGCAGGGTTACAGCTGCAATGCCTCATGCCTGGTCACCTGGCACTGAACTTGCGGAAAGCAGGAGGAGAAATCAGCATGTGACACCCTCTGCTCCTCATGTGTAAATTACCTCCATTGTTTCCATATCTGCAACATTTATCTTTTGAGCCTGAAACATGGCACAGAAAACTTCTGCAGGACAGCATCTGCCCAGGAGAAAATTCACAACAGCTCAAAGAAATCAATGGCTTCCTGGTGCATTACAAATCTTTTCTTGCCCCCCTCCAGAAGTATTGGGTTTTCATTTTAATTTTTTGGAGCAAAACAAGAACAAAAACGTATCAAGCAACCTCCCCCCCAAAAAACCCCACAACCACCCCATCTGTTGATTTTCCAAGTCAGGGGGCCATGGCCCTGCCTTGGTCATGGGGTGCTGCCTGCCAGGATAGCAGGGTCAGCCTTTTCTGCTGACCTCTTCATCTTGCCCATCTGATCTGCTGGGCCTTAGTGCCTGTTTGTTGACGCTCAGAGGCGGGATGCGGATCCTCTGGTTGTGACTTGGAGAACCAGCCCTGGCTAGGGGAGGACCACAGAGCAGCGACAGAGGTATTCCTTTTCATTCACTATGATTCCCAGAACATTTTAACACTAGATCCCTCTTCTCAGGGAACTCTGGGAATTGTAGCTCTGGGAGGGGAAGAGTGATCTCTCCAAACATCTCTTTGCACCCTTAATAAACTACACTTCCCATAATTCTTTTGGTGAAGCTATGACTGTTTAGAGTGCTTTAAATGGATGGTGCAAATGTGGCCATTGGGGCACAGTTGGAGATAAAGATATCTGGCATTTCAACAGAAGCAAACAAGAGCGGTGAATTTTTTTATCCCAGGAAACCTGCAAGTGGGACCCCAGAACTGGTATTGATTACCACTGCTGCCTCCACCGTGGAGACAGAGCACAGCCCCCAGGGCTGGTAGCCATGACTCGCCTCCTCCTCCTCCTCCTCCTCCTCCACAAATTAGTCCAATCCTCTTTTAGAGCCACCCATGTTGGTGGCCATCCCTGGTTCCTGGGGGAGGGAGTTCCATAGTCTGTGCTTCTTTTATCTGTCCTGAATCTCTCAACATTCAGCTTCACTGGATGTCAAGTTCTAATGTTAGGAGGGAGAAGAACGTTTCTCTCTCCACTTTCCGTGCACTTCTTTCATGTCGCCCATTATGCATCTTTTCTCTAAACAAAAAAGTCTCAGATGCTGAAACCTTTCCTCAGGGGGGAGTCGCTCATTCCTCTGGATCCCCTTTCCTGACCCTTTTCCAGGGGAGGGAAGACAGTTGGAACTGTGCACAGCATTCCCAAAGCGGTTGCACTAAAGACTGTTTAATGGCATTATGGCATTAGCAGGGTTTCCCCCTCCTTCTCCTTTAGCTGTTTAGAAAACCACCCAGGAGCTAAAGAGCCAAGTTGACTCACATTCAGCTGCATACCTGCAAAGCTCCTGGGCGCTCTGTTTCTGCAGCTTTTGGGGAGACCTGGAAGAGTTAACATTTCCCAGAGAGAAGATACTCTAATGAAAAAGGAGCAAGGAAGCACAAGGCCAGGGAGAAATGCTGCTAATTGGCAGAGGAGGAAAAACGCAACCTTGCACCTGGGATTATGTTGATCCAGCAGGGCTTATGAACTCTCCGCCTTGCCTCTAAACATCTTCCAATTTGGCCTTGCTGTGGGTACCAAATTCATAAAGTTCACAGCTGCTTAAATTGGTAGCGGTTGCCTTCAGAAGAGCTGAGAGTGCGCATTAGGAAAGGTCTCCCGTTCGGGGGTGGGGGCTCCCTGAGCTCTGGGGCTGGGGCTTTCCTCCAGGCCTAGTGGGGATTAGCCGGCAGGCTCTGCAGATCAGAACAATCAGCCCATCCCAGCTCTGCGAAAATGTCACCCTGGCAGGAATCAAAAGGCAATAACACTTGCACAGCGCCCCACAGTCTTCCTCATTTGGAAGCATTTTGATGATTTGCTAACTCTAATAAGATCAGAGAAGTCATGGGGGGGGGAGAATTCCCTGAGGGGGAGCAGGAAAGTAAGAATGCCTGCCTTAAATCCTCAGGCCCTGTGGCTTTGCAGGTGGAAATCTGGAATATTGATGCTTTCAAGTCTGAGAAGCTGGCCGTTCCTTCAGCTTCACAGCATTTTCCTAATGCAGAATGTCCCCATGGAGAGCAAATCAGCCTCCTGGATATCACATTGTATTAGATGGTGGAGGTAAGCCCGGATATGCCCCTGTTCTTGGGCTAGACTCTGGAGGGTCAGGTTGTGTTCCAGGTCTTTGAGACATGGGATGGTGGCAGCTGTCCATCAGAGAGGTGTGAGTGCAGGATGCAATTGGTGTCGTGGCAAACACAATGTCAGGCTGGGCCTCCTATGCTCAGCCATTCTGTTTGTGCACCAGGCATGCGATTCTGGGCTGCCAGCAATGTTGACTTCCCCGAAAGGGCAGCGTGGGATCTCACAATGCATCATTTGCTGGAAACTTTCCTGAAAGCAACTGAACAGATGCCCTTCAATTTTGCTTCAGTAAGAAACCCTGAAAAATCTCCTTTGCAAATAATTGGGTAACTTTTCCTGCCACTTCCAATTTGACACGGTAACTTTCTTCTTTTCGCTACAAGCAAAAGCACTAAGGGTGACAAAACTTGTACAAGCAAAAGAGGTTCATTTATTATCACAGGGTCTCCCCAGATGCTGGTCGCTCCCCTCGCTCCCCCTTCTTCTCTTTTCCCCTCCTCCTTCACTGCCTGGAGGCATTCCTCTGTTGATGACTGGAAATTAGAACACAAAGCAAGGAACAAAACGCTGCTTGCTTTCAAGGAGCAGAAACATCTGATCCTACAAAACCTCCACAGCAACCAGCAGGTGCCATTCTGGAGAACAATGGGGGGTGGGGAAAACCCTAGAAGAGAAGGCCGGGCAGTGGAGTGGCCAGAGTATTAAATCCCACTCAGCCAGGAAGTTCACTGGGTGACCTTGGACCAGACAGTCAAGCCAGGCCATTGGTTGGTTGGTTGGTTGATCACATGTATATCCCATCCTTTCTCCAAGGAGCTCAAGGTGGCATACATGGTTTCTTCCCCTCTTATTTAATCCCCACAACAACCCTGTGAGGTAGGTTAGACTGAGAGATATAGTGACTGGCCAAGGTGAACTCTGTGGCTAGGTGGGAATTTGAACCCTGGTCTCTCCTAGGTTCTAGTCTGACACTCTTAACTACTACCCTTGTGATGGGTCTGGAAGCCTTTCACAAGGAATACCTCTGCTCACTCAGAGATATATTTACAGTCTTTATTTACATACATATCTACAAGTTACAGGATATAGCTTCATGCATCCGAATCCTCGGTAGCAGATCCAGGAAGTGGGAGCTTTCGGCTCCTGCTCCAGCAGAGGAGCCTGGGAAGCCCCAGGCGCCTCCTTTGTGCCCTATGTTTTAACCCCCTTCTGTCCTGTGCTGGAGGAATGGGCATTGACTCTCGCTCTGTCCCTGAACTGGTCGAGTGGTGTTGATGGTTTCCTCACCGCTTGAGTTCCTTCTGCTTGCTTGTCCTCCTCTCCATCTCCTGTCTTTTCTAATGGCTCCTGTTCTTCCCCCTCCCTCAGCTCCGGGGCATTCCCTGGCAGCCCTGTGACAACCCTGCACTGGCTATGACCCAACAAGGACCCAGAATTCTCAGGAAGAGCCCTCTGGGAGTGGGGCTCCTGCCTTACCTGCAGCAGAGGAGCCCCCAACCAAGTTAGAGGAGGAGGAGGAACCAGCCCCCAGCACTACAAAGTACCAGAACCGGAAGCTCCAGCCTCTGGCAGCTGGTTGGCAAGGGGGGTGGCACACCTATGAGCCCAATGTCACTGTGCTACTCAAGAGCAAAGAGCTCCTGGACTAGGTACCTGCAAGCTGATGGGTCTTCCAAGCTACTGACCTGTGCCCTGTACAGCTCTGCCCTTGGGTTCGTAGAATCATGGGGAACCTGAGGGTCATCCAGTCCAACCCTTTGCAATGCAGGAATCTCAGCTAAAGCATCCATGACAGAGGGCCATCCAACCTCAGCTTAAAAGCCTCCAAGGAAGGAGAGTTCCACCACCTCCCAAGGAAGTCTGTTCCACAGCTCTTACTATCAAAAAGTTCTTCCTGGTTTAGTCATAATCTCCTTTCTTGTAACATGGAGCCATTGGTTTGAGTCCTACTCTCCAGAGCATGAGAAAACACGCTTCCTCCCTCTTCCATGTGACAGCCCTTGAGATATTTGAGGATGGCTCTCATATCTCCTCTCAGTCTCTTTTCCAGGCTACACATACCCAGTTCCTTCAACCATTCCTCATAAGGCTTGGTTTCCAGACCCCTGATCATCTTGCTTGCTGTCCTCTGAATATGTTCCAGCTTGTCAATATCTTCTTAAATTCTGGCTGCTGAAGCATTGCAATTAAATAATTTAAAGTGGATTTGTGACCTTTTCCTTCAAAAGTATTGGAAGGACTTCGTATGCCAGCTTCACAATTTCCTTCCTTTGGTGCTGGTATTTTATTTTCAATAGAAACAAGACTCTGTTTTTTCACCTACACACACCTACACACCACTTTAAATTGTTCTCTGAGACATGGAAGGCAGGAAAAAGGAAAACTGGGACATTCTGGGGTCAAATCCAGGATCAAATTCCGTGGCTGTCCCTGGAAAATTGAGACACTTGGAGGGTCTGAGATCAGAGTGGGACCATGACTTCCCTTGATCTGGACACTAGACTTCTGTTGCTGCAGCCTAGAATAGCATTAGCTTTTTTTGCTGCTTCCTCACATGGTTGACTCATGTTCAGCTTGTGGTCCACTAAGACCCCAATATTCTTTTCACATGTTTTGCTGTGAAGCCAGGTGTCCCCCAGAGGGTGGTGAGCCTAGGGGGTCCTGGGAGCCAGAGGCACTCTTGATTTAGGTGTTTGTGCCAGGTATATATGGTATTTCTGTGCATTTTCCCGCACTTCCATTTCCCGCCTCGCCCCCAACTCTTTTGCAAAGAAGGTGTGTGGAGAGCCCCCCGTTCCTGCCAAGCCTGAGGTCGGAGGCAGGAAACCTGAGAGTTTATTAGTGAAGGGTTTCCCCAGACGCCAGCTACACCATGCTTTCCTTCAGGCGCTGTTTGCAAATATAGGTTATTAAATTGATTTCCCCCCATGTCTCTTCCATGCTCAATGAACATTAAAATTAAAGTTCTGCTTAGTTTCTTTCTAGGTCAAGGGTGAGGGAGCTGGAGGGAGGGGAGGGGGAAAGAGGAGGAAGGGATGTGATGCAGCAATTTCCCTAAAAGAGAAAATGCTGCCTATATAGCAAAACAATAAAACATCACAATAGATAAATATAATGGGGGGTTCACACACACCCCAGTCCAAACGCACAATTGGGAACAAGGTATGACCAGCGATGGCTGCTGGTGCCCATTGAGTGTGGTGGAGCAAAGCTAATGGACTCACGGTTGCAACAAAACTGTTCCCCAAGCCCATTTCACAGAAGGCAAAGTGGTAGAGCTCAGAGCTGCTGCCCCCACTTTGCCCAAATGAGGAGCCTTGCTCTGCCGCAAAATGGGGGGTCGGGTCCCTGTGGCAGGGAGCAAGCTGCGCACCAAGAGCCCCCGCCCTTCTCCTCCTTCGTCCTGCTGGCTTGGCTTCCTTCCATGCGGTCGACAGCTAGAACGATATTTAGCAGGGCTCTGATTGATGGGCACAAGCAAGTCTTCCTGCCTCCCTATTGTAAAAGACAGGCACTCTTCCAATTTTTATCAAGTTTTACTTTTCAAAAAAGAAAAGGAAAGACACACACACACCCTTCTTTCTTTGTCAAGTGAATGAGAAGATTGACTTTGAAGAGTGTTGATTGACACAGCTGCTGGAGAACTGGGCCTCAGAAACAGCATTAAAAAACCCAGCACCCTAATCCAAGGCAACCTTTTCTTTTTCTTCAAAAAAATGGGTTACCCATTGATAAGGAAGTCATTTGGGACAGAAGCAACTGTCTGAAGAGCCCGCGATCATGGAAGAGCTCAACCAATGCTTAATTTCATAGACTCATGGAGGTGGGGGGGCCTCCAAGGGCAAGAACCACAGATAAAGCATCCCTGACACATGGCCCTCCAACCTCTGTCTAAAAATCTCCAAGAAAGGAGAGTCCACCTGCCCCCGAGGGAGTCCGCTCCATTGCTCAACAGCTCTTACTGTCAGAAAGTTCTTCCTGATGTTTAATTTGAATCTACAAGGAACTGCACTTTGGCTCATGTGTCAGCCCCTTCTCCCTCCAAATCCCTGAGGTTTCAAGCCGGGTTGTAGTGCCAGGAAAAAAGGCACTCTGGTTATTCTCAAGTGCATTCTTTCTTTTCTTATTGCACTTCAACAGTGAAACGGTCTCTTTCAGGAGATGGTGGACTCTCCTTCCTTGGAGATTTGTAAGCAGAGGTTGGAGGGATGCACAACTGTCATGGAAGCTTTAGTTGAGATTCCTGCACTGCAGGGGGTTGGACTAGATGACCCTCAGGTCCCTTCAAAATCTATGATTCTAGGACTTGTTATAAAGATCTGCTCTAGGGCTGGAAGCAGGATTAAGTTTAACCCTGTGAGTGTTCTCTGTGCTGCTGGTAGTTTTGTTTAGTAGACTCTAGCCTTCAGTGCCTAGACTATATGTAAGCTTTACCCTGGTCCTTCTCCAAGGTGGCATGCAGACAAAGGATCTAGGGGTCTTAGTGGACCGCAAGCTGAAGAGGAGCCCACAGTCTGATGCAGCAGCTAAATAAGCATGTGAGGGCATCCCAGGGTATGGTCAGCCAAGACAAGCCCTTCATGAGGCCAGGAGCTTTGGGTCTGGTCAGGAGTTGGATGGGTGCCCTGGGAATCACCTGGGCACTGCCTTGAGTTCCATGATGGAAGAAAGGCAAGAGATCCAAATGTAATAGTTGACACAGGTGGGGCCCAATCCACCAGCAAGTTCTTTCACACAAAGCAAACCTCACGAGATGCTGGAGGCAATTGCTTGAACTTTGAAGGCAGATTGAAAGCTTTTGCCACACTTTGGATGCTATTGTACAGCTTCAAAAACTTAAGAGCCTTTGTGACTGATCTCCATTTACATTGCATTGTGTCTCTGTTGTTGTTACTTTTCTCCCAAGGAAATCATTTTGTGGTTGGACTGTCTCTGGGATCTCCTCCTCCTGCTGCACCCTTTGCTCTGCTGATGGCCTGGAGGAGCCCGTGTTTGCTCCACAATGATGGGCATGGGGAGGGCAGCAGCTGCTTCCGTCCCGACTTACAATTGCATTTATGGAGCCCACTATAAACAACAAGACAAAAGACTTTCCAAAAGTTCTGAAGGCTGCGTATCGCCAACAGCCTCCAGGCACTGTTTGTGGAGACAGGTTATTAAATGGATTCCCCCCTCCCTTTTTACATGCTCAATGAACATTCAAATTAAAGTTCAGCTGAGTCTCCCTGTGGGGTGAGGAGGAGCTTTGAGGGGCTGAGTGTGCTTGGAATGGAATAAGAGAAGGTTCCTCCGACTGACTCAAAGGACAGATGTTCCAAGAGGTTTCTGGCTGCCTTCGCTCAACTGTGGGAAGCCCTGAGGTGGGACGGAAACTTGTCTTCTTAACTGTAGCCACACAGCTTCACCTCTGGACTAGGGATCAATCATACAGACTCCTTCTTCCCCAAACCAAAACTTGCTGATCCATGAATGGATGCCATGTTTTGTTCTGACAGACCAACATGGGAGATGTTTGGATACAAGCAAAGTCATCCTCAAGATTGCAGGCCTTGATGTGGGTTCAGTGAACTGAAGAGAAATTCAGCACAGACCACTATTAGTCAGTAACACTGCCCCTTTAGCTGCCTTCCTTTAGGTCAAGAATTTTCTCCGAGCCTTGCAGAAGTCACCCTTAGCCTTTCTAGGGATGAAAAATGCAGCTAGACACAATAATTAATGTGAATTGCAGGGCATGCTGATCATTGAGACCACTTCCAACCCAAGTTCCTCCCAGGGCTACACCTATCTGAACATTGCCTGAAGGCCACCTGCCACAAGATCTGGTGATGCCCCCCAACTGGGATGGCATTAAAGGGGAATTGGACAAATTTATGGAGGAGGAGGCTACCAGTGGCTGCTAGTAATCTCAGAGGCAATATTTAGCTGGACAGTGCTTTTTTTCTGGGGGGACGCAGTGGTACGCATACCCCTAAACATTTTGTGAATCTACTGGAGGAAGAAACTAATTTTTTTTAAAAAAAATAGTTTCTCCTCTAGCACAGTGAATCATCAGTTCCGTTGAGTAGCATGGTGAATCGTCAGATGCTGGCCTCATTTCCTATCCTGAGTCTCAGGCGGATGCGAGCATTTAATGTGTGAAGCAGCGTGGAATGTGGATGTGTGGTGTTTTACTGATGAAAGTTTGGCCTCATTAAGGGGCAGTATTTCAATAAGTGTAATGCATGTTCTTTGTACTTTTGTCCATTTACTGTATTTATTTCCCCTGATTTGAACTATACGTAAAATGGTGATTTTCTTGAGTCAAAATGAGAGTACCCCTAAACATTTTTTTAGAAAAAAGCACTGCATCTGGATATCAGTTCATTCCTGGGAATCCCAAGTGGGAGACGGCAACTGGATTCAGGTCCTGCTTGTGGGTTTGCTGGACTAGATGGACCTTCAGTCTGACCCAGCTACAGAGCTCTTCCTAGGGTCTTAGCTACGTACCTTATCTCAGAGAGTTGCCCAATGCCATGCACAACTGTGGCTCCCAAATTTAAGGCTAGAATGTACATTCAGTTGCATTAACAGGTAAACTTTTCCGACTCCAGTTCAGGCTGAGAGCGGTGAGCTGGCGCTTTTCAATGCTCCATTGTGGCAGGCAGGGAGGGGGACAACACTGCCCCTGCAGCTCAAGAGCTCCAGCTCAGGAAGAAGGCAGTGACAGAAGCCTCCTCTTTGTTATACTACTTTTTCAGTTCTAGAGTTGCTGTGCAGCAACGTGCTTTGCCAAGCATTTGTTGATTCCAGGGGGTAAGATTTAAGAGTTATCTTGTCAGGAGAAGGAAGGAATCCTAGAATAGTAGAGTTGAAAGGGACCCAAATGACCATCTAGTCCAACCCCCTGCAAGGCAGCTCTGAGCAAAACGCAGAGATCAGCAGCGGTAAGAGAAAGCTGCAAACTCAAGTGCTTTCCTTCAGTGTGCTTAAATAAAGTCCAGACAGGATCTTAGCAGCTAAAAGCAGTTTTATTTAAGCAGAAACTATCCATTGTCGAACAGCATCGTGAAAACACGTCCACTCTCCTCAAAAACGAAAATAGAGAGAACAAAGGGTTTAGACTCTCGAATCTCCCCCCTCCCAATAGTAGGCAGGGCGTACACTCTGAGCTGTTTAACCCTGTAAGCTCAGGTTCTCCTCACACCCCCTCTCGCCCTGTGCTACTGTGGGGAAAGTAAGTACAGAACTTACCCCCAACTCCAAACCACCACAAAACTCCCCATGACGCTGGAAGCTTAAAGGTTTGGTAAATCCATCAGCCAAGTTATTGTGACTGGCACAATACTTCAGCCGAATTAAACCTGACTGAACACTCTGACACACATTTTGGAAGCGTATGTCCAGATGCTTGGTTCTGGCCTTAAATTGCGCAGATTCAGCCAATTTCAAACAAGGTTGATTGTCCTCCCAAACCATGACGGGCAAGCTACAATCCACATAGATCTCTTGCACCAAGCAATCTATAGAACTCCAGTTCCCGGCACAAATCTGACAGTGCGCTGAATTCAGCCTCAGTAGAAGACAGCGCAATGAGACTTTGCTTCCGGGACTTCCACCCAACTAGTGACTTCCCAAACTTTACTACCAACCCAGACACAGACTTGCGGTCCTGCGAATTCGCCCAGTCACTGTCCGCATAGCGTGTGAGCTTCGCCTCACCTTCAGCTGGCAGCTTAAGACAGAAGTCTTTGGTATGCTGCAGGTAGTGCAGTACCCGCTTGATACCGTGCCAAGCACTCACACTGGGCTTTGACGCTTCCCTACTTAGCATGTTGGTGGCAAAGGCAATGTCTGGTCTGCTCCATTGGGACAGATACAACAGACTACCTAGAGCTGACTGAAAGAGCTCAGCATTCTCAAACTCAGCACTTTCTGCTTGCTGGCTATCTTTCATGAAGTTCGTCTCCATGGGTGTCTGAACTCCTGCACAATCGGACATTCTGAACTTCTCAAGCAACTGCTCAATCTTGCCTTTCTGACTGAGCAAGAAGCTACCATTCTCAGTTCTCGCTATCTGGACGCCTAGGTAGATTTTTACTGCACCCAGGTTCTTGAGCTGAAACCGCTTTCCAAGCTCTTTGGCAAACTTCTGCACCTGTTTGTCTGCCTTTCCAACATGGATGATGTCATCAACGTAAAACAAAACCAGTTCCTGTGAGTCTCCTGATCCTCTAAGGAACAGGCAACTGTCAGCAAGACTCTTCCTGAAACCTAGCTTCTCCAAAGCTTCATTCAGGCACAAGTTCCAATTTCTGGCCGATTGCTTCAGGCCGTAAATTGACTTGTGAAGTTTCCACACAGTACCTTGCTCATTGCCCTCAAACCCTGGAGGAGGAAGCATGTACAGATCCTCCTGGAGGTCTGAGTTCAAGTAGGCTACATCCACATCAAAGTGATGCACCAGCAACCCTCTTTGTGCAGCAACGGCCAAGAGCAAACGTAGAGATTCACTCCTACAGGTGGGAGCGTAAATTTCCATATAATGCAACCCCCCTGCGCTGCGTGAATCCTCTTGCCACTAATCTGGCCTTATACTGCGGTTCTCCTATTGCTGTGGGTTTAAGATGGTAAACCCAGCGGCTACCCACGGCCTGTTTGCCCACCGGCAACTTTGTGAGGGAGAACACACCTAGAGACTCCATTGAGCTCATTTCCTTCTGCATCGCCTCATGCCATTTTCTGGCTTCTTCCTGAGGCAGTTTCTGAACATCCTCAAAACTCTCAGGTTCACACTGTGCCATTCCGACCCACACGCTAGTGACAGCAAACCTTTCAGGAGGTTTTCCCTTTGTTGTCCGAGCTGATCGGCGCAACACTACTTCAGGAACCCCCTCTGATTTACTGGGGCCAGCCAGAACGTCCTTGGCATCAGAGAGCTCCCCCTCTGACTTACTGCGCCTTCTGGACTTCTCAGCCGAACCTGTGGGGGAAGATGGAGCACTGCGTTGCTCAATCTTCACAGCCTTGGGAGAAGGTCTCCCTTCTGCCTGCACTGGGTCTGGACTCTGGGCCTCAGTAGCAGGTTCAACCTCTTCCTCTTCTTCATCAGCAGAGTCAAGCAGACTCTCTGACAGGATGTCAGGGTTCCCATGTATCCTTGCCCAGCCACTCTGCTCACAGAATTCAGCACTGTTGCTGAGCAGAATCCGGGATTGGTTCCCTGACGGATAAGCAAACCTCCACCCCTTGGTCCCTGGCTCATACCCACAGAAAATCATCTTTTGGGACTTGGGTTCACCTTTCTTACGTTTGGCCTTTGGTATGAGGACCCAAGCCTCACAGCCAAAAACACGGAAATAGTGCACTTTTGGCTTCTTTCCATGCGCAGAAAGTAGGGTGTGTCTCCTACCACTGAATTGAACGACCTGTTCAGAATAAAGTTGGCCATTCGTAAAAATCACAGGCGGGAGAAGCCTGTGAACGTGGGATTCGGCGGGCACCTTCTGCGCCTCCCCTACTCGCGGGGAAACCCGTTTTCGGGGCTCCGGAGCGACGTGGGGTGAGTGGCGCGGTGCTTCGAATCGTCTGCTTCTTCCACGGAGCGAAGCCGCACAGCCGTTGCCGGAGAGCGCTGACTTTTTCCTGTGGACAATTTGACTTTAAAGTAATTACCCGTGAGTAGAGCTGAAACGGGAGAATTGGATTTTAAAAGTATAATTTGGTATCGAAGCGGGGAGGTTCAAAACAGGAAGTCCGCCTTCCCCTTTTGTAAATAGACTGAGGCAATGAAGTTGCAAGCTGGAGTCCTGGAAAGTCTTTTGTAAAAGATTAAATTTCCATCGGTAAAGAACAAACCCCCCCCCTTTGGAGGCAGGAGAAGAGGGGGGGAGTTGTGGACTGAATATGCCTGCAGGAGAGAGCGAAGAGATCTAAAACACCGCCGCTCTGACCCTGGAAACGGGCTGCTAGTAGGACTGACGTACTTTGGAATGTTCATTGACAGTGTTTAGAACGTTCATTGACAGCTAGTTAAACAAGAGAAATACATTGTTTCTACTGTTACCGGCTGCTTTAAAAAGGAGTAAAAGTAACTGAAAATTGAAACTAACTTGAAACTAATTTTCGGATTGTTTAAAAGAGGATACTATTGACTATTACAAATAGAAACTGTTTCCCCCTAGTGGAAGCCTTTGAAACCGGTTGCTTTACAAGAGTTGGGTTAGGGAAATTTCCAGCTGCAAGTTAAAAATCGTGAGACTCTGGGACTGACCTTGAATCTTTTAAGTGTTATGGTTAATGGAAGAGGAAAAACAGACCAGTCAACTGCTGACAAAACATTAAGGTCTGGGAGGACTTGGCAGCAATCCAGGAGAGCTTCACTATCAGGCCCCCCTGCTCCTTCTGTTGCTTCCTTTGTACCAGTATATTTAAAATCAAGAGAAATGTTGACAGAAGAGGCTCTAGTGGCTGCATTATTTAAGATAAATGATTCATTGGATCAGCTTCACAGGAAAATGGACACAATAAATGCGAAAGTGGATGTTTCAATCATTAAAACTAACTTAAATATAGAAAGTATAAATAATACTAATATAGAAACTACCCAGAAATTGACACAGGAACCTATTTCGATACGGCAAACTGCGGAGGAGGCCAGGGAAAAAGCTGTTGTTGCTGAATGTAAAGAAACACAACTGGAGAGAAAGAGCAAGAGAACCCCAGCCCTACAGAAGCTACTTGATGAATATAAGTTGACGCTTGCTATGACTGAACTTAAAGAAAAACAGACGAATTTGAGGATTAGAGTTCACCTTTGGTGGACATGCCCAAGGATTAAGACACTTTGGGAGATGATTCATAATTAAATGAAAAGGTATTTAAATATAACTTTTTGAAGAAACCAGAGGCCTTTCTCCTGGGTATGGTCGGCCAATTGGTGTTAAAGAAGGATAGAACTCTTTTCACGTATGTAACAATAGCAGCAAGAATACTCATTGTGAAGTACTGGAAGACACAAGATTTATCTATCCGGGAAGAATGGCAGATGAAGTTGATGGACTATGTGGAATTGGCGGAAACGACTGGCAGAAATCCGAGACCAGGGAGAAGAGACGGTGGAAGAAGACTGGAAAAAGTTTAAGACTATTTATAGAAATATTGTAAAAATAATGAATGTTAGAAAAATGTTGGAATGAAGTTATATGGCTTTAGTAGAAATGCTATAAGGAATTAAGTATAAATAGACTAATAGACTATTAAAGGGAAAAATAAGATTAGAATATGTTAAGATAATTATAGGATAGAAAACAGAGGAAGATGGAAAGGAATTGCTGAAACAATTAATAGAAGTGGAATACAAAAAGGGAGGTGTGAGGAGGTCGTGGAAATAAGGGAATGAAAGTTAAGATATTGAAATTGTTTTGTGTTTTAAATGGTTTGTGTCTTGTTTTGTTAATCTTATGTTTTTTCTTTTTCTTTCTTTGCTTTTTCTTTTCCTTTTTTGTTTTTTCTGTTTTATTGTGTTTAAATGGTTGGAAAATCAATAAATATTATTTAAAAAACAAACAAACTGAAGGGTATCATGGTTGATGGTATTGAAAGCCACAAAGAGGTCAAGGAGAACTAACAAGGAGACATCTCCCCTGCCTCTCTCCCAGCAGAGGTCACCATACAGGGCGACCAAAGCAGTTTCTGCCCCAAGACAAGGCCTCAACCCCGACTGAAAGGGATCTAGAAAATCTTTTTAGTAGTAATGCTACAAGGAGTATGTAAAAATGGACTGTTAACAGATGAGAATATACAATTATTATATATTAAGACAAAGGTAAAAGATAAAAACAAAGAGGGAAAGGATTTGTTGAATTAACTTACTGAACTGGAATACAAAAAAGGGGAGGTGTGAGGAGGTCAGGGAAACAAGTGAGTGAAAGACAAGATATGGAAAGATTGATTTGTTTTTAATTGTTTTTACTTTTTTTGTATTTTGTATTTTCTTCTTCCTTTTTTTCTTCTTTCTTATTATTACTACTGTAACTCTTTTTTTATTTTTGAAACTTTAATAAATATCTTATATATATAAAAAAAGAAATGGATCTAGAAAATCTCATCCATAGGCTCTTCTGATGTCCTTGTGGGTGTCCCTTCCCTTAATGGCAGTCTTGCTGGATTAGACCAAAGGCCTATCGAGTCCAGCATCCTGTTTGCCAAAATAGCCAGGCAGCTGCCTTTGGGAAGCCCTGAAGCAGCTCCCTCTTCATATCTGCGCTCCCCAGAATGCGGTATCCAGAGGCAGGGGCAGAGGAAGGGGGTGCGGTTGGGGCAGACTGCCACGGGTGTCTTTGCTGAGGAGGGTGACATTTGGTGTGCCGCCCGCCCGTGACTCCCAAGCCCACCCTGAGCCGTTGGGGGAAGGGGGGGAGCTGCGCCGCTTTGCCGGAGGCATTCCCCCTTTCCCCCTTCATTTCGACAGCTGGGGGAGGCTTGGGAGTCGTGGGCAGGCGGCACGCCAAATGACCGCCATGGGCGGCTGCTCCGCCCCCGTGAGTGGCTTGCTCCGCCCCTGGCTGCAGGGCACACTCACCGCTCCATGCACCCAAGCGGCTATCCCGTGCCTGGGAGAGCACCCTCTGCGCCCCGCTCCCCTCGGGAGTGCGCCCGCCCTGGGCAGCGTGGGCATATGCTCTGCCGCTGTCCAGAGGCATGATAGGGGAGTTCATTCCTGTTACGCCAAGGTGACTCTCAGTGGCAAACTCATGACGCTCAGGTTACCAGCACCAGCACCTCTCTTTTCTGTGGCTGACTCAGCTCTAATGGAAGTTTCCTTGGAGCTGATAGAACATGACAAAATGATTGATGCCCTGACAGCAAGTCGGGGGGGGGGGAATGGGGAGAAAGGAGGAGGAAGGAAAGAAAACACCAGCTTACTAAGGCTGACATGTAATTCATATGACAAAGAAGTTTCGGGGGGGGGGGGGTGTTTGCATGTGTGCACAAACAAGGGTAGCTATGCTGCTGCTGCTGTTTTTAAAGCCTTGCGTGCCCATCTTCCTTGGCCTCGGCTCTGGCCAAAGGAGTTCAAAGGCACAAGGCCAAACTATAGCTGCATTGAAAGCACTCCAAAACTCCATGGCCCGCCCCAAAGGATTCTGGTATCTGTAGTCTGTTAAGGGTGCAAATAGGCCCCTCTTCCCCTCCCAGAGCTACAATTCCTAGCCCCCCCTGGAATGAGGGATTGGCTGTTAAGCCACCCTGGGAACTGTAGCTCTGGGAGGAGAAGAGGGGCCTCCTAAGCCCACTCAGCACTCTGAACAAACTACAGCTCCCAGGAATCTCTGGGGGAAGCCATGGCTGTTTAAAGGGGTAACTTTGAATGTGTGTTGGGAAGGTGGCCTGTCTGTAGCAGGTGCTGTGGATCTTGCTCAACATGAGCACCAGAAGCCACAGAAGCTGAGGGGGGAAAGCTGAGGGGGAACAAAAATGACCCCAAGGGGGCAACACCATTGTGGTGACAAAAGCCAGAATCTGCTCTCTTGAAGTGGAGGAGGAGGAGGAAAGTCAGTCACATTGGTTCATCCTTCCCAAATCCACATCAAGCTATACCTTTATTAGGCCAAGCCAAACGTGGGCAAACGTGTCAAAGCAAACGAGGCCCCCCACTTTGGGTTGAAGCCCCCACCAGCCTTTGGCAAACAGCCTCCATAATCCCATCCGAGATCCTCCTGTCAGCTCTGGATGTCTACCCATGGCTGTGATGTCCCCACAGGCCAGGCTGCTGCTCCTCCTCCTCCGATCAAAAGCCATCCGTTAGCAGTCAGGGCGAATGAGGCACATGAGGAAACATCTTTAGCCGAGTGCCAGCTCCATCGCTGAGAGCATTACAGCGCCTATTGACTGACAACGCAAGTAAAAGTCAGTAGCGATTTAATTAGGATGACTGACTCTTGACTGCCTCACATCTGCACATGAGGGGGGTGTTGGCAATGGCAGAGGCAGCGCGGAGAGGCATCTGGCCCCCACAAGCAGCTGGGCGTGATCTGAGTGGCGTCTCATCTTCAGAAATGCGGCAAGGGACCCTGAGGGCATCCTGGGTGAGCAGGCTGCACAGGTCCCACTTTAAAAATGAAATGACTGCCCTGTGTGTGTGTGTGTGTGTTGGGTTACTTCTGTGGTCAGACAGCCCTTGGTCCATACATTCCCAGGGTGTGGAGAGAGAGATCGCAGAGCCCCGAGGCTTGAAGGCGACTCGGAAACGTCAGCTGGACTAAAAGGCAGCTCCGGGGGTGGGGGGTGGTCCAGGACTCAGAGAGAGCCTCCTCTGTGGCAGCATCGAGGCTGTGGACTTCTGTCCCCAAGGAGGTGCATCTGGTTTCACTTTTGGTGAATGTTGAAGACAAAGGATCTTGGGGTCTTAGTAGACCAAAAGCTAAACATGAATCAACAGTGTGAGGCAGCAGCAAAAAAAAGCTCTTCTAGCCTGCCTCAACAGAAGCATAGGACCTGAACCATGCAGGAATATGTCCGCCCCCGCCCCCCTCCTCAGATCAAACCTGCAACCTTGGCATTATCAGCACCATACTCTAAGCGACTGAGCTATCCAGGCTCTAGTTACAAGAAATGAAATTCCAACTAAACATCAGAAAGACCTTTCTGACAGTAAGAGCTGCTTGACTGTGGAGCAGACTCCCTCGAGAGGTAGTGTGGTGTAGTGGTTAAGAGCGGTAGTCTTGTAATCTGGGGAACCGGGTTCGCGTCTCCGCTCCTCCACCTGCAGCTGCTGGGTGACCTTGGGCCAGTCACGCTTCTTTGAAGTCTCTCAGCCCCACTCACCTCACAGAGTGTTTTTTGGGGGGGAGGAAGGGAAAGGAGAATGTTAGCCGCTTTGAGACTCCTTTGGGTAGTGATCAAGCGGGATATCAAATCCAAACTCTTCTTAGCCAGTGTGGTGTAGTGGTTAAGAGCAGTGGACTTGTAATCTGGTGAACCAGGTTTGCTTCCCCGCTCCTCCACCTGCAGCTGCTGGGTGACCCTGGGCTCGTCACACTTCTTTGAAGTCTCTCAGCCCCACTCACCTCACAGAGTGTTTGTTGTGGGGGAGGAAGGGAAAGGAGAATGGTAGCCACTTTGAGACTCCTTCGGGTAGTGATATAGAGGGGTATCAAATCCAAACTCTTCTTCTTCTTCCTTCCTTGGAGGCTTTTAAGCAGAAGCTGGGTGGCCATTTTTCATGGATGCTTTAGTTGAGATTTCTGCTTTGCAGGGCATTGGACCAGATGACACTTGAAGGTCCTATTCTCTGGAGCAGCAGAAAACAAGCTTGCTCCATCTCCATGTGACAACCCTTAAGGTATTTGAAGATGGCTCTCGTGTCTCCTCTCATATCTCCAGGCTAAACATACCCAGCTCCTTCAACTGTTCCTCATTAGGCTTGGTTTCCAGACCCTGGATCATCTTGTTGCCCTCCTCAGCACACGTTCCAGCTTGTCAACATCCTTCTTAAATTGTGGTGCCCAGAACTGGACACAGTGTTCCAGGTGTAATTTGGCCAAGGCAGAATAGAGCGGGAATATGACATTCCTTGATCTGGACACTGTTGGTGCAGTCTAGGATAGCATTTTCCTTTTTTGCTGCTGCATCAAACTGTGGGCTCATGTTCAGCTTGTGGTCCATCAAGACCTCTAGTTCCTTTTCACATGTACTACTGGCACGCCAGGCATCCCCCATCCTGTATTTTTTTATATATATATATATATATATATATATATATATATATATAGCAGCTTCTGACATTAGACTCAGCCCACCCACAGCCTGGGAAGGAGCCATCTCTCGGCATGTTGGCTTCACCAGCTTGGTGCTCCTGAGGCGCTCCTGGAGGTGGGAGAGAGGCAGAGGCCTGCCACACCTCAAGGAGCTTGGTTGTCAGATATGGGGCAGGCTGAAATATTAATGGAACTAACATTTCAATTACCTTTTATCTATACGGATGCAGGCAATAGCGCTCTCTCTCTCTGTTTCCCAGCCACTCAGCTCCCTCTCACCCCCCCCCATTGCTCCTCTTCTCTCACCCTCCTTCTCACAACCTTCTCTTCCCCCCCCCCCATCTCTTCAGAGACGCTGTCAGGGAGACGTTCATGCCGCGCTGGTTCTTTTTATTGGTTTTCATCACTTTTGACATTGCCAACAATGAACCTTGAAGTAAATTTTCAGGAGCGACGATGTCAGTGGGGAAGTGACGGCGCCGTCATTTTTCTAAATTAGGTGATGATTCCTAGCCCATGTGGAAGGAACTGCAGGAACGACTGGGGGTGCGGGGAGGAAGGAAGGAAGGGAAGGAAGGGGGGAATATTCTTCCTAGGCCGCCTGCTGTGACTGTGAGGGGGCTACTTCTAAAAAAGAAAAGGACAAGGGTGGAGGTCTACATGGACTGATAGCCCTCCAGGGCCAGCCTTATAGTTAGGCAGCGCATGGCGCATTAGTGCTTGGTTTATTCCACTTTACTAATAGTCCTTCCCCAGTGCTGCCATATTATTTGCTGCCCAGAGAGGTTATAGCACAGTAAAAGCGGTGACCCCCCCGCCCTCAAAAAAGAAGAAAAAGAAGAAAGCCTAGAACATTTGTGGTATGAAATGTTACAGGATTTCAGCAGTAAGTTACAGGACGTGCACCAATTGGAACCCAAGAGCTATGAAATCCCAACAAAGTTTGCAGGTACAAATAGTATTGCCATAGGTTTGGGAGGGGTCAATCTGGATGATGCCCCAGGTCCTTTCCCCAACCGTGATCCTGTATCTGTGAGGGTAGCCAGTTTCTTTGTTAAGGTAATGGCCTTGGCTTGTCAGTTCAAAACTGCTATTTACATGTCCAAAGAGGTTGCTCTGTTGCCATAGAGACAAATAGGCAGGCCTCTTCCCACCTCACCTGGCTGAATGCCACCTCTTCCTAGGATGGTGAACATAGGCCAAGCAAGGGACTGTGCTTGCATGTGAGTTTGGGACTGGTGCTGGAATCTGGGGCGACAGAGACCTGTCTCTGTGCTGGACCCAAAGCTGTGTTTGGGACTCCCCTGGAACCCTAATGGGGAAGCAAGATGCTGTGGGCCCCTCCATCCTATCCTCAGATCCTATCCGCAGGCTATATACATGCGTGAATAAAACCATATATCTAAAAGACACCACAGTCTCTACTGACCTTCATTCCAGGGAAACCAAACCTGGGTAGAGGTCTCTCATCTCTCAGAGACTGGGGCAGTGCATAGCAGTATTGAAAGCAGGATTGCGTGCAACTTCCCTGTTAGCATCATGAAAGCAAATCATCACTTGTAGCTCGGATGTAGCCCTGATGATGGGAGAGAGAGAAAAAGAGGCCAAGGAGGCTTCATAGATGTGTCGTTGGCCTAACTTTTCTTGGGTTGCATGCAGGGGACTGTTTACGTCAAAGCACCTCTCACAAATAAAACCAATTGCAAAGCCCTGCTGCTGTGTGTGTGTGTGTGTGTGTGTGTTGCTCCATTTCACAATCCCCCTCCAAGTGCCATTTTGTTCCACTTCTCCTTATAATTCCCTTTCAAAGTAAAAGCAAAGCTTCACCCGTCGGAGCTCAGCATCTCTCCCTTCCCATCTCTCTCTTTCTCTCTCTCTTGCATTCATTCCCCCACCTCCTTTTCCGCCACTGCCATCACTCTGAAGTGCTCCCACTTCCCTCTACCTACCACAAACATCAAAGCAAAGTGTCTGATCTCTTCATCCCCCAGAATAAACAACTGACAGGAAACATAACTAGGTCTTCGCTCAGGTATTGTATGAGAAAAGGATTTTGTTAGCTTCACGTGATCTCCCTTCAGTTTTTGAAGTCTCTGTGCAAGCGGCAGGTGCCTGCAACAGGGAGGATGTGGGAAAGTCACCTCCATAAAGGTCTGCAGAAGAAATCCGGTTGAGGGACAAGCCTCACCTGAAAACAAGGGGCAGGGAGGGGGCATCACAGACTGATGTTGCATGGAGGGAAGCAAAAGAACATCTGCTGGTGTCTATGGAGAATCAACTGTAAGGAAGCAACATCTAGGATTGCTAGACCCCCGTGTGGAGCTGAGGGCTCCAGGTTTGCCTGACTCCCCATAGGTGGCAGGGGGGGTCTTGGATCTGCAGGGGGGTGACAGCACCTTCCTTCCCTGCTCAGGCTCCCCAAGCAGGTGAGAAGGAATGACCCTCCCATGTCATCTGCATCTGGGAACAGGCTTTTGAGCTAAGTTTACCATCTTAATTCCCAGCCAGTTTGTGTTTTTCATTTGAGTGATGTACTTTTGGCAGCTGTTGTTAAGGCTTAATGCGCTTAATTACGTCATGCTCCATGATGCCAGCCCCCCCCCCGAGATCACCAGGGGGCACCCAAGGCCCTGAAATCTTGATCTCAACCCTAAGGCTACCTCCGCTACCCTGGAGCCATTATGTGACTAGTCGACACTTTATAAAGCCATTGTTGCTAGCAGCCATCCTGAACTGGATTTTGTGGCAGTGAGTCCCACAAGCTAACTGGCATTGCATGAAATCCTGCATTCCTTTTGTCTCTGGTAATTCTTCTTCTTTTATTTCTTTGGCGATCATTTGTAGCCGAGTAAGATTGTGTTCCATAAATATGTCTTAACTGTGAGTCCATAAGTGACTGTGAAGACTTATTCTGGATTCACATATCCTTCCACAGTGGGGACATAGGTTTCCGGGCGGGTGTTGATCTTGGTGAGGGTTTGCCAAGCGTGCCTTCCTCTTAGCACATTTCTCCCTTTTGTCCGAGTTTGAGTGTCTTCAAAGCCCATGACACCTTTGGAGCGCTTGCAGGCCAGTGTTTCCCAGTTGTTGCTGTCTAAACTACATTTTTAAAAATTTGCCTTGAAAGAGTCTTGAGACAGCCGCAGCACAGGAGCAAAACCCCTGTCCCAGCAGGCCCCATTCCAAAGGGGGCAGGCCTGGCCCCAGTGGGCAAGCAATTCTAGGGGTGCTGAATGCCCGTGGAACAGCTGCCAAAAAAGTGTGCCCCAGAAAAGAGGACATGGTCATATGTCTCCCGCTCCCCTGTTCCTCTGGCTCCTTTGTCTGCCCTTCACTTCCAGAAGCTGGAGCAGTTTGATAAAGGGCCTGCAGGAGGGTGAAATCCCCAAAAAGGTTATTACGGTACTTTTTTCTGTATGCCACAACAGCTGCGAGAATATTGCTAGCGAAGAATTGGAAGAAACAAGATTTACCAACTATCGAAGAATGACAGATGAAGATGATGGACTATATGGAACTTGCCGAACTGACCGGGAGACTCCGAGACCAGAGAGATGAGACGGTGGAAGAAGGTTGGAAGAAGTTTAAGGAATATTTGAAAAAAAATGTTAATATTTAAATCTTAGAATAGCTTTGGAAGTGGATATAGGCGGTAGGGTTAGATGTAGAAGTGTATTTTATAAGTGATAAAATGTGAAGTTTTTTGTGGTGAAAGTAAGTGTGGGGAAAATAAGATGGTTAGAAATTATGATATATGTAAACTGCTAAAGATGAAGTAAAATGAAAATCAGATAGGTGGGACTTGGGGAAGCCCACTTAACAATGTTTAGAAAAATAAGGA